GCCCCATAACCACCCCCCCCAGCTCCTCCACCTGCAGGGGGCAGAGAGACGGGGGTCACAGCCCCATAACCACCCCCCCCAGCTCCTCCACCTGCAGGGGGCAGAGAGACGGGGGTCACAGCCCCATAACCACCCCCCCCAGCTCCTCCACCTGCAGGGGGCAGAGAGACGGGGTCACAGCCCCATAACCACCCCCCCAGCTCCTCCACCTGCAGGGGGCAGAGAGACGGGGGTCACAGCCCCATAACCACCACCCGGCTCCTCCACCTGCAAGGGATAGAGATATGGTGTCAGCCCCATAAACACCACCCCCAGCTCCTCTGCCTGCTGGGTGCAGAAAGACAGGGGTCACTGTCCCATATCCGCCCATACAGAGAGTGAGGCGTCCCTACCCCTCAATCTGCATCCACCCATAGACCCACCTTCCAGACCCCCCACCCCGCGAGGGTCTCACTCACCTCGGCCTTGGTCTTCTTCTCGGCGGCCATGAGCTGCACCTTGTCCCGCTGCTCCTTGGGGGCTGATTTGTACATGTCCAGCAGCAGCTTCATCTCCTTCTGGCTCTCCTGGGCCTTCCTGGTGGGGAGAGGAATCAGGGCCCTGCACACCACCGCCAGCCTGGGACCACCCCCAGCTCCCGCCCCGCCCCAGAGTTCTCTCACTTGAGCTCAACGCGCAGCTGCTTGAGCAGGTCTGAGTCCTTCTTCTTGGGGTCATCGCTGCTCTTCTGCCGGTCACGCTCGCGTGCTGAGCCGTCCCTGTCGCGGTCCCGCGAGCGCTCCCGGTCCCCCCCGCGGCTTCCCTTGGGGCGCTCCGGCGGCTCCTTGATGCGAGGCGGGGGGGGCGGCTGGGGAGCCGGTGGGAGCGGCTCCTCCTCCTCCTTCTTCACCCCCCCTTCGGGCAAGGGCGCTACCTCCTCCTTCTTCACCACAGCCGCCACTGCCTCCTTCGGCTCCTTCTTCACCTCTAGGGCAGGCGCGCCCCCCTCCTCCTCCTTCACCACCACGGCCGGGGCCACGCCCACCGGCTCCTCCGGCCCAGGTGCGGGGGGCAGAACAGCTGAGCCGCAGGGGAAGCCGCTTGACTGCATCCGGATCTGGGTGAGGGAGACGGGGAGTGAGACCCCTGGGCTGCAAATCCCTAAACCCCACACCTCCCCCACAGATCCCTCCCCGCACCCCCAAGCCGATCCCCAAACCCTACATCTCCACCACCAATCCCCCCCCCCGGCCCCTCCCAGCCAATCACTAGACCCCGTACCTTCCACACAGATCCCTCCCCAGTCCCCCACAAGCCGATCCCCATATCCACACCTCTCCTAGAGATCCCTCCCCGACCCCTTCAGCCAATACCTAACCTCACCCAAGCCTATCCCCAAACCCTGCACCTCCACCACCAATCCCCCCCCCGGCCCCTCCCAGCCGATCACTAGCTCCCGCACCTCCCCCACCGTTCCCTCCCAGCCAATCCCCAAACCCCGCACCTCCCCCACCAATCCCTCCCCCCCGGCCCCTCCCAGCCGATCACTAAATCCCACACCTTCCACACAGATCCCTCCCCAGTCCCCCCCAAGCCGATCCCCAAATCCACACCTCCCCTAGAGATTCCTCCCCGACCCCCTCAGCCGATCCCCAAACCCCGCACCTCCCCCACAGATCGCTCCCCTGCCCCCCCAAGACAATCCCTAAACCCTGCATCTCTCCCCACAGATTCCCACACACACAGACGCCGATCCCTAAACCCCACACCTCCCCCACAGATTCCCTCCCTGGCCCCCCAAACCAGATCCCCAAACCCCGCACCTCCCCCCACAGATCCCTCCCTGATCCCCCAGTAGATCCCTAAACCCCGCACCCCACAGATCCCTTGTGGCCACACAAATGGAGCCTTAAGCAAGCCCCTCTCCTAGAGTAGATCCTTCCCCGCCCCAAGTGGATCTCTAAATGCAGCCCCTCACTTCAAGTGCATATCTCTCTGCCCCTCAGAGCAGATCCCTAAATGCCACCTGCCCCTCCCTGAGTGGATCCCTTCTACCTCTCGAGCAGATACCTAAACACCGCCCCCCCCTGCAAAACAGATCCCTAAATGCTGCCTCTACGCCAAGCAGCAAATGGATCCCTCCCTGCCCTTCCTCCAGTCAAGCCCTCCCCTCACCCAGAGTGGATCGTTGAGTGCAACCGTCCCCAGCGGATCTCTCACCTTGTTGATCTCAGCCTGCACCTCACGCAGCTTGCGCTTGTATCGCTGCACGTCTCCTTTCAGCTGATGGTTGTGGTTCTGGAGGCTGCTAATCAGGTGGCGCATCTCCCGGTTAATGGGACCTGAGGGGTCAGGGTTACACGGGGTGATGACGGGGGGCATCTGCCGTGGTGGGTAGGTGGCTGGCGGCAGGGCACTGGTGGGGAGAAAGCTCACTGCAGCGCAGAGATTCTGGCAAGCAATGCCAGGGCAGCAGCCCACACCAGGGCACCGCTGGGAGGAAGCTCGCTGCACTGAGTGCGGGGGGTATTGCCAAGAGCGCACTGCCGTGGGGGAGGAGCACACTCCGCGCAGGGCCATACCATGGAGCTGCACACGGGGCCAGGCGATACACCATGCTGGGCCGTACCACGGGGCCGGGCATGGGGGGGACAGGGAAGCGTCTCTTTCTCACCCGCTTGCTCATTGGCGGCCAGGTTCTGCTCGAACTCAATGCGCAGCATCTCGTATTCCTTGCGCACCTGGGCCAGCGTGTCCTCCAGCTGGATCACCTCCGTGCGCAGCTTCTTCTGCAGGTTCAGCTCGTCGCTCTGCAGCAGGGCGGGCGGAGGGTGAGAGACGGGGAGGAATCACTCGCCCCCAACCCCAGTCGGCTTCCCTCTAGGCAGCATGGTAAGCACTCCTCCACCCCCCGCCAGAGTGGTACATCCCAATATAATGAGGCTCTGAACCACAAACAGCACCCCTCCACCTGGCACAGGCCCTTCAGAACGGTAACCACCCAATGCACAAAAGGTGTGACGCATTCCTCTCACAGGCCCCGCCCCGCCCAAGAGGCCCCGCCCCAACTGTGACTCCTCCCCCCAGCCTCACCTCCATGTGCTCAATGTGGCGCAGGTGGCTGTTCTTGGTGGTGAGCAGCAGGGCGCGCGCCTCATCCAGCTGGGTCTTCACCTGCAGGCTCTCGTTGTAGAGCAGAGAGAACTGCGACTGCAGCACCTTGTAGTCCAGGGTCTCCTTCACCGCCTCCTCGGGCAGCGACCGCAGCGCCACCTAGGGGCACGGGGCGTCACTGCCACAGGCACCGCCCTCCACCCCAGCCAGCCTCCCCACATCTCCCCCCACGCCTGGCACGCCGCCCTCCACCCCTGCTGCCCAGGCACCATCGCCCAGCCTGGCACCGGGGCGCCGCCCTCCACCCCTCCCAGCCAGGCCCCACTGCCCAGCCTGCCGCCCTCCACCCCTCCCGGCCAGGCCCCACTGCCCAGCCTGCCGCCCTCCACCCCTCCCGGCCAGGCCCCACTGCCCAGCCTGGCTCCAGGGGGCGCCACCCTCCACCTTGTTACCTTGAGCTTCTCGTTGGTCCTGACAGACTGTTGCAGCTCCTGCTGCAGCTTCTCCAGCTCAGCCATGCGGCTGTTGGCCAGCTCCTGGTTCTCCTCCAGCTCCGCGTTCAGCATCTCGAACTGCCGACACAGGGCTCCGATGACAGAGGCCGACCCCCACCCAGGGGCTGCCTCAGCATGTGCCACGAGACCCCACCCTCACAACCCCGCCCCTTCCTGCACCAGGACCCCACCCCAGAGACCCCCGCCTCTCCCAGCACAAAGATGCTCCCCAACCTCAGGGTCAGACTCCCCCACCCCTCCCTGCACCAGGACTTCCCCATCCCATTGCCAGAGACCCCCGCCCCACTCTGCATTGGGAGCCCACCCACTGGGACCCTTACCTCCACCTGACCAATGCCAGAGATCCCCACCCCTCCCGAGTCCCCAGCTCCCCCTGCCCCCTCACCTTTTGCATACTGAGCGTGATCTGCCCGCCTTGGAAGCCCCCGGAACTGCCTGACACGTAGTAACCGGAGTTCAGCTGCAAAAGGCCAGAAAGAAAGTCAGCAACCCCCTCGCCGATCAGGCCTCCCAAGTGGTCTGAGGAATGGGCACATATGGCAGCGAGCCCCAGATACAGGGGATGAGGGGGAGAGCGGGAGTGGGACCCAGATGGCAGGGAGAAACTATGGCTCCAGCTGCAACAGGGCCAGATGGGAGCAGTGAGACACAGGAAGGGGCCGGGGAGGATGAGGAGAGGGAAGCCTTGGGTACGGGGACAGGTCACCTGCTCCAGCGCCTCAGCTAGGTGTTTGTTGAGCTTCTGCTCGCGCTTGCGCAGCTTCTCGATGTCCCACTGCAGATCCTCCACCGTCGTCTCCATCTCCAGCACCTTGGTCTCCGACGACGTCACCTTGTCCTGTAGCTCTGTGTACTGCGCCAGGAAGGGAGACGGATGAGCGGGGCTGGATCCACTCCAGGCCAGATAGCCCCTGACCCTGGGGTCAGAGACGGTGCCCCCAGATGGGAAAGGCCCTGTGACTCATTCCCTACCCCTGAGCCAGCCAGCCAGCCCCTCTGCCCTGAGAACCAGCTCGTACCTCCAGCGAGATCTTGTGGTGTTTTTCCTGCAGCTGCATCGCCAAGTCCTGCAGCCGCTGATTCTCTCTCATCAGCTCTTTGTTCAAGGACTTCAACGCCTCATCCAACTGGTCCAAGTCAGCTGAAAAGGAGTCACACCTCTGAGAATCCAGGAGTCCTGACTCCCAGCGCCCCAACTCTAACCCCCTAGATCTCACTCTGCTCCCACGGCATTCGGCTCACCACGGGCGTGGATCTTCTGGCACAGCTCCTCCGTGCGCCGGTGGATCTTGTTGGAGACTTCGACCACACGGGACACGGCGGCCTTGGAGAATTCCATGCGTTCCTGCAGCTGCAGCTCAATCTCCTCGCTGCTGCTGCTGGCCAGCGTGGCCAGGAATGACAAGGCCGGCTCGTTCAGCAGGAGCCCCCCGGCCTTCCAGGAGGCAGACGGGGTCGCAACAGGTGGGGCCGTTTCTGTGGGGGTGGGGAGGACGGAGAAGGGTTTAGCGGTAGGTTGAGATCACTGCGAGGGAAGAGCACCCCCCGCTGAGCGCCCTCGCCCTACTGAACCCCCGCCAGAGTGGCGCCTCCTTGCCAAGCCACAGAACCCCCCTGCCCCAGTGCAGCGCCCCCTGCAGCCTGGCACCTCTCCATGCTCACCTGTCCTATCTGGGCCCTCAGTACTAGGGCTGACTGTGTTCTCGGGGTCCGGTCCCATTGGCTCTGGCCTGGGTTCCTCTGCGGAGGGGGGAGAAGGGGCTGCAGGGGGTGGGGGCTCACAGTCCCCATCATAGCCTCTCAGCAGGACCTGCACATTTTCATCCAGCTGTGGGGAGATGGAGATTGGGGGGGGAAGAGAGGGGTCAGCCCAGCACAGGCCTGGGAGAGGAAATAACACCTGTGCTCTCCCCCCCCCGGCCTTGGGCATCCACTGACTGGGGGCGACATACACCCAAGAGGAAGGTTTCTGGGAGGGACAGAGGAAGACTGTGGTAACAGAGCTAAGAATCCAGACATCCTGGCTCCCAGTCCCCAATCATTCAACCCCACTAGAGAACAGCAGGCCAAGGTCTCACCACAGGCAGCGTGTTGTGGTCGCTGGGAGGGTCCAGAGAGGTGGCTCTCCAATTGCAGATGATGATAAGCAACAAGGCCTGGTGGGGGATGCGTGGCAGGGGTATCGCGGTGGAGATGAGGCATTGTCCAGAGGGATGTGGCTGGGATGGGAGGAGGGGTGGGAGTGGAATGCAGAGTTGGGGGAGGTTGCAGGAGAGATTGTGGGGAGAGGGCCATGGCCGGGGGACAGGCAGGGGCCTCACCTGGCTCCAGTAACGGTTGACAATGAGCAGGGTGGCATCATCTGTGGCCTGGCGCTTCTCCAGCTTCTCAATGCGCTCGCGCAACTCATCCTCAAAGGCCTGGCGCTGCTCCAGCCGCTCCGCCAGCTTCTTGTTCTTGAACTGCAGCACCTTCAGGTCCATCTCCTCCTGGGGAGCGGGGGGGGCAACAGGGTGGGGTCAGCAGCGGCTCCCTGCCACACCCCCGCAGCTGCCTCCTCCCCAGGGACCCCCACCCACTTCCCAACCCCACACCCTGCCCTCCCCAAATTACATCCAGCATCCCCCCCATCCTCACCTGCCCAATCAGGGTTCCCAAATCCCTTCCATGCTCCCAGTTTCTCTTGAACTCCCCAAGTGCTCCCCTTGCCCCCAACAGTCCCCACCCCAGGCACTGACCGTGGAGGAGATGCCCCCCAGGCGGATGGGTTCGATCAAGGTAGTGGTCGTCTTCTCCTCACGGTTGGCTTTCTTCTCAGGGGGCCCTGATCCCCCATCCCCAGCCGCCCGCTTGCTCCCCGGCCCAGACATGGCGCCGCTGGCCAGGGTCTCTGGTAGCAGCGGGGGGATGGGGAGAGGGCGGCGGGGGTCAGCCCAGGAGTTGCGCCTCACCTGGAAGGGAAACAGAGAGGGGTCAGGTACCTCCTTACCCTTATCATCTCTGCCCCCCACATCCCCCGGACTCTTACCCGACCCCCCCACCATCTCCCTTTGCTATCCCCAAACCCCTCACCTCCCCAACTCCATGGCACCCCTTAAACCCCAACCTGATGTACACCCTTAATGCTATCAATAGGCTACTCTCAGCCCACCCCACGCCATCCCAACCCACCCAACCCCTTGCCACCCTCCCCCCATCTCCACCT